GATGCAAAAGGAATTTGGGATAACATACAAGAAATGTATGAGAAGTTCGACAGGGCCAAAATCTTCTCCATAACCCAGGCCCTGTCGAAGCTCAAATAGGGAAATCTTTCGATTTTCACCATTTTCAACAAACTTTCAGCACTGTGGAATGAACTCAAGATGGCTACAGGGACCCGAAGAGACCCTAGCTCAGTATCGCGCAATAAAGGAGAGGGAAAAGGTAACTAGATTCTTACTTATCTTGAATGAGAGTTATTTACCTTTTCGAAGCCAAATTCTTGCCATGGACCCTGTCCCCTTGTTCGGCCGAATCTACCAACTCGCGGTGCAAGAGGAGTCGTAGCGTCTGGCCTCGTCAGAGTACCTCAAAGTGAGAGATCAGGTCATTCTCGCGGCCAAGGCAACGCTGGACCAGCGCCTGCTCACGGCGAAGTCTGGCCATGGCGTCCTCAGAGCTTCGAGGGGTTCACAAATGGGTATTCTGGAGGAAGAAGATGACATCTCTCATTTCCAAACATACGGACGTTATCAATTTGTGACATCCGATGGCTCAAAACACATGCGGTCATCTTTTGGAATGAACGGTCATGATTTAATCATGCGATTAGACAGTCCTGGTTTTATCCTTACAGTGCCCAAATCGGACGGCACACACCGGGCCATGTCAGCCTCGGTTTAGAGAGGATCTAATGGCCAAAATTCCTCCAAATCACGTGCCAACAAAGGGAAAAGTAAATTTTGTGATTATTGCAAACGTCATTACCATACCTGAGAAAATTGTTGGAAACTGCATGGAAAACCAACTGATAAAGAAAAGAAAGAGTGAGATATTTCTGTCGTGGCACATGCCAAGGCCCACCAACCTGTCAATTAGGATCAATTTCAGCAAATAATGAGTGCTTTAAACCAGCTGGGGACACAAGATAAATTGACCAGCTATGCAGGTACTTCCCATTGCTTAAGCTCTTTTTCAAATAAAGCATGGATTATTGATTCGGGTGCTGGTGATCACATAGTCTGCGATGAACATTTCCTTTCCAGTATCCACAAATCATCTGCATACACTTTAGTACGTCTCCCCAATGGAAATGACACATCTGTCACCAAAATTGGGAACATACAACTTAATCCTTCCATTACTCTGAGAAATGTACTACTCATTCCCGAATTCCAATTTAACCTCATCTCTGTCTCCAAACTTTGTGAAGACAACTCATGTCAAGTTTTTTTCGATTCTGACATCTGTTTCTTTTAGGCCCTTTCAACTGGGAAACTGATGAGCTTGGGTAACAATCATGAGGGACTCTATTTTCGGGCCACTCTTCCCAAAAATTTTGATATTTCACATTTTCCCTTCAATAAGGGCATTTTATGTAATGCTAGCATTAACGAAAATACTTTTTTATCCCATCAGTGTTTAGGCCATAGTGCCTCCTTCCCTCATCCAAAATGTCCTATCTGCCCTTTGGCTAAACAATCGCGATTATCTTTTCCACAAAGCACTTCATGTGCCAATACAGCCTTTTTTCTTCTACACATGGACATCTGGGGACCATACCACACTCCACACCATGATGAATCTCTTTTCTTCCTTACAATTGTGGATGACCATACACGAGCAACTTGGGTATTTCTGATGCAATCCAAAGCCCAAGTACTTTCCGATCTTAGAAATTTGTTTGCCCTTATAAAAAATCAGTTTCATAAATCCATACAGCGGATTCGCACTGATAATGGCCGAGAATTTTTCAATCATGAATGTTCTTCATTCTTCAATTCAAAAGGCATCCTTCACGAGAGTTCCTGCACATATACTCCTCAACAGAATCGTATTGTCAAAAGAAAACATCGCCACCTCCTAGAAGTTGCTCGTGTGCTTAAATACGAAGCTTCTATTCTTGAAACGTTCCGGGTAGACTGTGTGGTCACAGCAACATACTTAATCAATTGGATGCCGTCACAAGTTCTCAATGGAAAAACTCCTTTCGAATTGCTTTTTGGGAAGTCTCTAGACATTCGCCATCTTCGTGTTTTTGGCTGTTTATGTTATGTGTCTACTGTGGGCCCTCGAGACAAATTGGGTACTCATGCTCTTAAGTGCATATTTATGGGATATCCTACTCTTCAAAAGGGATATTTGGTATATGATCCATCCACCGAATATTTCTTTATCAGTAGAGATGTTAACTTCCATGAAGATGTTTTTTCCTTTCCAAGAGGAGTTATCTTCTAATCAACAAAAAAATACAATTACTCATCAACGTCCATTTTTTACCAAAGAAGATCTTTTGCCTCCTCAACCGATGGTGATTCCCTATATATCATCTCCCATGGCATCTCCGGTCCCTGAATATGATGCAGCCTCACCATCAGGTACACATAATTCATCTAACATTCCACAGGAAGTCACATCAGAGTTCGCTATTACTCCCCAATCACCTACTTCCTCGGGTCACATATCTTCCGGACTACCAGAGACTTTTCCATCCACCGTAACAGCTCCTCCTCGACGTTCCGGTCATACTACACAACCGCCCACTTGAACAGCAAATTATATTTGTCCTACCTTGGAGTCATCTGGTACTCACTATCCTATCTCATCATATGTTAGCTTTGCTCGACTTTTACCTAAACATATGTGCTGCATTAGTAGAATATCTTAAGGACATGAACCATCTTCATATGATGAAGCTGCCAAAGACCCTCATTGGCAACAAGCAATGGCGGATGAATTACGTGCTCTAATAGAAAATAAGACTAGGGATATAGTTCCAATATCCACTCATCGAAAATCTATTGGCTGCAAATGGGTATACAAGATCAAATACAAGGCGGATGGTTCCATTGAGCGCTATAAGGCAAGACTAGTGGCTAAAGGATTTACACAACGGGAAGATTTTGATTACACTGAAACGTTCTCTCCAGTAGCGAAGGAAGTCACCGTTTGTTCTTTTCTTTCAATTGCCGCTCTTCGTGATAGGCCTCTTCATCATATGGATGTTCATAATGCCTTTCTTCATGGAGATCTAGAAAAAGAAATCTACATGAATCTTCCACCGGGTTTATGCAGACAAGGGGAGAATCGAGTATGTCATCTCCGTAAATCCCTATACGGACTCAAGCAAGCTTCTCGTCAATGGTATGCCAAATTCACCACTGCACTTACAGCTGCTAAATTCCAACAATCCAGACATGACTATGCCTTATTCACATGGAGTCAAGGTACATCATTAATTTACTTGCTTATATATGTTGATGATATACTTATTATGGGAAATGTTGAAAATGCCATTGAGAAGTTTAAAAAGTATTTGCACTCTACTTTTCACATTAAGGATTTGGGACCTCCCAAATACTTCCTCGGGATAGAAATTGCACGATCAGATAAGGGAATCTATCTCAGTCAACACAAATTTGTCCTAGAGATCATATCAGGACTATCAAGATCCAAACCAGCTGCTATCCCAATTGAACAGAATGTCAAGTTAACGACAGCTGAATATGATAAGGGCTTATCACCTCTGAATAAGGATCCTTTGCTAAGAGACCCTTCTGTTTATCATAGACTTGTCGGGAAACTTATATATCTAACCATGACTAGACCCGACATATGCTATGCCTGCAGACTCTCAGTCAGTTTATGCATAATCCAAAGCAGCCCCACATGAATGCTGTACTGAAAGTCGTGAAGTACTTGAATGGATGTCCAGGTTTGGGAATACTACTGTCTCGGGATAACAACATGGAGATGACAGCGTATAGTGATACAGATTATGCTACTTGCCCTATGAGTAGAAAATCTGTCATAGGATTTTGCATAAAATTAGGGGACTCGTTACTCTCTTGGAAAACAAGAAACAGTCGACCATTTCATTATCATCCACCGAAGCGGAATATCGGGCAATGGCGAAAATCAGCTGTGAAATAGTATGGATAAGAGGATTACTACAAGATCTCGGTATATGGGTAAAGGAACCAACCATTTTATTCTGTGACAATGATGATGCACTTAAACTTGCAGTAAATCCAGTTTTTCATGAAAGGACGAAACATATAGAAGTTGACTGTCATTTCATCATAGACAAGATTCAAGATGGAGTGATCAAGACAAGAGGAATAAGGACGACGAAGCAGCCCGCGGATATCTTTATTAAACCTCTATGCCATAGGCAACATACGTATCTATTAAGCAAGCTAGGCATCCTTGATGTGTATAGACCGCCAGCTTGAGGGGGAGTGTTGAAGATACTGTTGCCCCAACCGATTTTAATTGATCTCAATACTGATCCTAATTGATCCCGATTATTTCATTGATTGGAAACTAGAATATTGTGTATTAGGAATTGATTTTTTCCTTTATTCTGTATATTTTTTTCCTTAATTAGTTCAACCCTATGTGTTATAAATAGGGCTATGATTGTACAATGTTGATATGAGAAAGCAATACAAACTTTCATACACTTTACTACTTACTTTACTGCTTTCCATCATCTTCTGACAATTTTCTCGATTAGGCAGTCGGTGACATGGACAATGAAGAGTTCTTAACGGAGGATTTCATAGTTAACATGATGTTTGTGGGCATATTTGCAAGCACTGAGTCTATTTCAACAATGTTGGCTTTGATCTTCAAGTTTCTATCCGAGACCCCTGCAGTTCTAGAGGAATTAACGGTAACAGAATTTACATGATATATAAAAATATTGTTTTGCGCCATGTTGTCAAACCTTATTCAACAATGGCAACGTCTATATTGCAGGCCGAGCACACAGCAATTCTCGAAAAGAGGGAGGGGCAAAGTACTGCGCTTTGTTGGGATGAATACGAGTCGATGGCTTTCACGATTCAGGCGAACAAAAATCCCTTCATTGGCGTTTTGTTTCTTTGCCCTTCTATGCTTCAAAGAAGTATCATGTTCCAATAATTAAAAGTGTGCCTTCTATGCTTCAAAGAATTATCATGTTCCAAAAAATAAAAGTATTCTCTGGAAAAAACTTCAGGTAATAAATGAAACACTCAGGCTGGCAAATACTGCTCTAGGGCAAATGCGAAGAGCAGTACGAGATATCCTAGTGAACGGTGAGTAGTCTTGATTGACATTCACACCTTTGAAACATTAATAAGCAATGTCTTCTCACGAATTATCTACTTGCAGGATTTGTGATCTCAAAAGGTTGGCCGATCATGCTAGTCACGACCGCTCTCCACATGAATCCCAAGGTGTTCGACAATCCTCTTGAATTTAACCCTTGGCGCCGGAAGGTGCGCGACTGGAACTCTTCGATTAATATTCATGGACTGACTTTTTTCTCGTCTTCTTGGCATAACCTAATTTCCATTGCATATCACGATCTTGATTTAGGCACAAAATCGAAGAACTTTATGCCTTTCGGTGGAGGAGCAAGACAATGTGCTGGTGCCGAGTACATTTGAGTGTTTTTATGCGTGTTTCTTCATGTGCTGGTTACAAAGTTTAGGTAAACAAATTCTCAATCCTTTTCCAGATATATCGGTCGTCTCTGGCTAGGTAATGTGGCCGAGATATGAGAAAAGTTGTCTGATGATCTTCTTCTCTGTCTTTTTATTTACAGGTGGACGGAAATCAAGATAGGTGACATCTACCGCAATCCCATACTAGGATTTAAAGATGGCGTTAACGTAAAGCTTTCGGAGTCTTGGAACTAAAACTTGCTTTAGGTGGCACTGGCTTGACATGAATAAGACATGTTTGCAACTCCCTTACTAGTTTACTGTGGCAAATGTTTTCCTTCAAAGGACATGTTTGACTTAATGGGTTTAGAATGCCAATTTTACCCTTTCCAATAAGACAGTGCTAGTGATCTTCTCCTTAACACTGTGAGCATAGGACTCATGGTAGGGGTTGAATTAAGGAGATAGAATCGAACACTTATGACGTCAAGGTATGATAATGACTAGGCATGTTTCTCGTGCCAATATTGCCTTTATCGCTCTTAATTCAATTTATGTGAGTACGTAGTTATCTTCTCTTGCTGAAGAAATTCTTCTCCAATCTGTCCATAAACGAATAAGAACCATTGTAGACTAAGTAATAATTAGTAGTGCATTTCTAATACTGTTAGATCCTCTTTAGCGTTTTCCCGATGTCCTATTCCCAAAATAGGCTGGAATTTGTCTACTAATCCCGTGTCATGACATTTATTGGGATGTGTACATATCATAGTCACATCGAAACTCCCACTCCACTAGAACAAGATATCCTTGCCAATTCACTTCCATTGTCCGGAGTCCTTCAGGCGTGTGAAGGCCTCAAATCTTGGTCTTTTGCCACCGGAGGGTTTATAGGCCTACAAATCTCAATTCGAAATCATTCAAGAAGTTACCATTTCCAGCACCAGGAGCAGCAGAAGGAGGTGTGCCTGCTGATGGGGGAGAACCTCGAACCATATGCACGGTATGATCAGCCTACAGACCTTCAAAAGCAACGAAGCAAAATATCCATTCAAATTTCCAAAAGTGATGCATTTTTTAGAAGGCTATGTAGCAAGTCTCTGGCTAGATTTTAGTTAGACGTAGGATCCAGTCAATAGGGAAAAGATAAACGTTGGAATCACATAACCATTAGAGTGAACCAGTTGCCCACTTACGGCATCATTCACTAGCATACATCCACATGCACCATGAAAGGACAGAAGGCTCACACAGAATCAATGGCTAATTTACATCCGAATATGAAGAGAAATTGCCATGAACAAGAAATAAAAACTCTGTACTGAAGTGGCTAGTAGTATCACTTATAGGGGGTTGTCAACCGGTGTAGTTTTCGATGAATTGGAAATTGTCGTGTATACCATAAATAATAAGCTTATGCTAGTAAGGATCTGTTTAGTAACGTTTTTGTTTCTTTGTTTTTATGTTCTTTTGTTCCCCGGAACAGAAAAAGAACAGAAATCCGTTTAGAAAAAAAATCTACTTTTTTTTGTTTCTGGAACAAAATTGATCCTGGAATAGATTTGGAACAGAAACAAGAAGCAAAAAAAATCTACTTCTTTGTTTCTGGAACAAAAATAAGAAACGATTTTTTCTGGAATCCTCCAAAAACAAGAAATAATTTATCGGCCGCAACCCGCCCACTGCCGCCTCTCGCCGTCCTTTGCCGCCACCTACCACCCGCCTTCTGCCACCGACCGCCTCCCGCCCGCCGGCCGCCTCTTGTCGTCGACCACTGTCCTCCGCCGCTTGACACTTGTCGCCACCCGCCACCGACCGCCGTCCTCCACCGCTAGCCGCCGTGCTCCATCGCCCGACGTCGGCCACCGGCGCTAGCCGCCTCCCCCCGCCAACCACCCGACGCCGGCGATCACCCACCACCGGTCGTCATCCTCCGCCGCCGACGGCCACCCACCACCGGCGGCCATCCTCCGCCACCCGCCATCGTGCTCCACCGCCCGACGCCGGCCACCACCCGGCGCTGGCTGCCCTCAGCCGCCGGCCACCTCCCGCCCCTGGCCACCCGACGCCGGCGGTCACCCACCATCGGCCGCCATCCTTCGCCACCGGCCGCCGTGCTCCATCGACCGACGCTGGCCACCCTCCGCCGCCAACCACCTCCCGCCGCCGCCCCCTGCTACCGTCACCGCCGCCCGACGCCACCGTGCTCCGCCGCTGACCGCCGTGCTCCACTGCCTCCCGCCACCAGCCGCCATCCTCTGCCACCGCCGACCACCATCCTCTGTCCCCCACCGCCACCCGCTGTCCTCCGCTGGTAGCCCAGAAGGGATAAACTCGTCTATGGAATAGAAATGGATCATTCGCGCCCTAAACACGTTTCTATTCTTTTTCTATTTTAGGAATAGAAATTTTGTGCAATTACTAAACGCTATTTTTTGCTCAGAAACTATTCCAAGAAATAGAAATAGAAAAAACTATTTCTGATCAGAAATTATTTCTGGGAACAGAAACGTTGCTATGCAAACCCTAGCTCACTATGATACTGTTACATTGCTACACACAAACAATCGTGATAGAAACTCTAGGGTTTGATGAGTGACATATCAGAAATAAGTAGAACTGATGGATTCATATGAGATTGATAGACTAGTGGGAAAACGAACGATCCATTGTGACTTGGTAATTAATAGATTCACTAAGTAGTTTCATGGCATCTGGGCCATGAACTGAATTCAACTGCGAGATAGGAATCAAACAATGTATCTGCTATATACCTTAACTTGGACGTACATGTTATTGCAATCTAAATGCCCATATCAGGTTAAATAAAAAGGAAGGCGATCGCATAAGTCAGAAATTACCGACAATGCTAGAGATTGAATCGCCAATCCCAAGTATACTCTCCTCATTGTCCTGATTAGTTACAGGCAAATCAGACCCATTAAGAGGATCATCTTGCAAACAATCAGCAAGCATACCGGCACACCTCATTGTCCTGATTACTTAAAGGCACACCAAACCCATGAAGAGGGTCATCTTGTGAAATTGGGCCGAACTAACCAACACATAATCCACAACAAACTTCAAACCTAACTCGACTTCTAATAAGCACACTTCAATATCATTCTATGTCCAATCAACCAAGAATAATCTAACGAAGGACCAAAGTAACCCAGAGTTAGAAAACTAAAAATCGAACCTTGATATAGCCCTTCTCGATGAGGAGTTGTGCGACCCCAAGATGGTAAGGGATCAAGAGCCCGGCGGCCGAGAAGCTGAACCCGGGACTAGTCACCACTCTCCTCTTCTACTCTGCCTCCACATCCTTAATCCTCTGCTCCCACATCGCAACAGGCTCTATCTCGTCCTCGATCACAACGCCAATCCCCACCTTCCCATCATACCTCGTGCCCCTCCTCCCGCCGCCATTGATGCTCGCTCCGCCCGGACGGTCCCTGAGGAAACCGGCGTCTGAAGCGGCATTCGCGTCCTTCCTGCTACTGTTGCGGCACTTGATCAGCCGCGAAGCGATGCCGAGGAAGAGCACAGCGGTGGCGGTGGCAGCGACGGCAGCGGCAGCGATGGCGAACGATCTCATGTCCGTCTGAGAAGAATTTGTGCTTCTGGTTATGGTTCTGGTTCTGGTTCTGGTTCTGGTTCTGGTTCTGGTTCTAAGTGGAGAGGATTTAGAAGAGGAGGTTTTGGCGCCACTGAGTTCTTGTTGTTGTTGAGAAGGAAACAATTTTTTGAACTTATAGGATATTGCTTTTCCAATAATTTTAAATACATTATTATGTTAATGAATATCTTCTAATGTCTATTTTAAAAATATTTGGGTTTTGGGGATTAGAGAAGGGTAAGGATTGGGGCCACTGTGTTCTTCTTGTTGTTGTGGAAGAGATAATCTTTGAACCTAAAAGATATCGCTTTTCGATTAATTTTAAATACATCATATTAATGAGTACTTCTAATATCTATTACTTACTTAATAAGTGTTTTTTTAAATCTATTCGAAAAATTACATCATTAGAAAAATTACATGATTTTGGCTTTGAATTTTATCCCTCGTGAAAATGTTGGGTGTTTTTTTTTATTGTGAAATTGCATTTCTTTTGAAAATTATGTAAGAAATAGTTTTGTGTGAATGTTGGTGTGGGACTCTGGCTTGGGTTTTGCCGGGTAGAGAGAGAGAGAGGGCGGCTGATTCTGCCAACCGAAATAACGGCCACTCCTCACAAAATCCACGGGATGGTGACAAAACGCTATTTAATCTGAAAAGGGGAAATTGACAAAAATAGTCATGAATTTTTAATTTATTCAATGTGATCCTTGAACTTTAGCCTAATGTGCAATGTCAACCCTAAACTTTAGATTTGTCCGATACAGTCCCTGAACTTTTGGTACATGTTCAGTTAGTCCCTAAGTTATTTGAAAATGTCCAATGCTGTTCCGAAACTTTAATTAATGGAAGGACAACATTGAATATTTTCATATAAATTTAGAGTTATATTGAATATAAACCAAAAGCTTAGGAACCACATTAATTAAAAATTCAAAGACAACATTACACATTGAAATAAAGTTGAGGGACAATATTGAACAAATTAAAAGTTTCGTACTACATTATACATTGGACCAAAATTTGGAAACCATTGGTATCATTATTTCAATCTTAAAAATTGATGGGTCATTGGCAACGCTCCCATCCTACGTAACCAATAACCCCTAAACATTTACCTAACGGCTAGCCAAAAGAAAAGTGAAATTTTAGTCTTAACAAAAGAAAACTCAAAATAAAGAAAAGAACAAATCCCAAATCCTCGATATCTGCACATGGACATTATCATCTGCACAAGTCTAGAACTATTTTGTGA